GGACGTGGTCACCAGTAGTCTTTCTTTAATTTCTATGTAATTTATTATTTTTCTATTTCATTTCTTTTCCGTTTGTTTTTGTAATTGTACTTCCCCGTCTATATACCGCAACATTGAGGACAATGTCGAATTTTGTGTGGGAGAGGTACCTTTCAATCTTTTATAAACTAGTAAATTCTTACGATATGTCTCGATTCAAATTCTTCTATTTATTTAGCCATACCGAAAAAATTTTATCTTCGCATTAGCCCGACATACCTATTTTAACGAAATCCCAGTTGAGGAAGCCGAAAACGACATACCAAGATCGATACAGTTATGACACCGTAGACTTCCTACTTACGCGATCCGTTTCAATAACCATTATACCAATATCTGGAGTTTAAAGTTCTAGAAGTAACCCCTAGTAGTTTATACTAGCAGTCAGCACCGTCTTGACATAAACCACGTGGAGAATCGATGAATATAAGTGTTTGATGCCTGATTCTAAAAATATCCTTCCTATCTCACTGCTAAAAGAAAATAAAATTTGTGTACCAAAATATACGGGCACATATAAGAGCTGAGCAAATAATGAAGGAATCCAGTGTTGGTTGGTTCAGAGGTATCTGGTTCTGAACTCGGTAGGGCGTGCTACGGCCCGATCCCCCACAACCTCCAATTTGGATAACATATGTAGGGTTTCCACATTCATGTACCATACCCCGTGCTAAAAGGATCAAAGTCACTAACCGGTTACTCCACTACGTGTGTGCTAAGACAAAGGGCTTAATGTGATTGCGCCAGAACGAAATCGGGTGAAATAGATACGAGGAACTCCGGGCAGAATTATAACGGAACCATTGGATAGCTCGTTTGAAAGGGAAGCCTACGATTAAGCTTGTTGCTTGTGTCATTAACGTATCTTTAGTGTTTTACTCAAGTATTGGCCGAACCGACGAGGATTTCCCGAAATTACTTTAAACATCCAAGGTATGTCATGCTTACGCGCTTGACAAAACTTGTCCGACCTTTCGAATGACTATTTACTTGAGGACAAGTAAAGGTTTAAGTATGGGGGAATTTGATAACGAGAAAACATATCATATAATTACTACGCTTTTTACCGATTTTATATTTCATTAAGTCGTCTAACCCCCGATTATTCCGAGATTATTTTTCTTTTTACAGGTATAACATTTGCCAACTCAAACCAATGGAAAAGGACAACATGAAGAAGGCTAGACAATAAACAAAGAGAAAAAGAACTAAAAATACAAAGTTTGGATTTTTGGAGCAGTGACGGTCGTCACACCCTTGTGACGGGCGTAACGCCCCCCAACTTAGAATAACGCTCGTCACACATCACTGACGAGCGTAATGCGCTACTTAAGCGCGTTATGACCGTCACCCACCTGTGACGACCGTCACGCGCGTGAAGATGGACGTTGTAAATGGGTGGAGACGTGGGCAACGCAAGGGCAGACTCGTTCTCCTATTTTTCCTCCACCCACTAACCATGCTCCCTATATTTTCTCCATTCAACCTTTCCTAAAGACTTTTCAACTGCTATTTTTCCTCTGCTATATATATGTGTGCAAGTGCAAAGTACCAAGGGTCGAAGGAATTTTCTCAGAACAAATTTATTATTCTTTTGCAATTATTTCTATTTCCTTGTTTTAGAGTTTTTCTACGTTGCTGTAATTTTCATTCCAAGCTTTAGTTTTTAGTTTTAGGTGTTAATTCTTCATTCAAGAATTAACACAATTTATTTACTGCAATCAAGCTCAAGGATTATTGTAACACTTCAAGATTACCATAACAACTTTGATTCCAGGTTTCTATTGCAATTAATATTTATTCAGATTTTTTATATTATGCCAATTGTTGTTATGAATTATATTTTGAATTGCATTGCTGTTAAATTTATTATGTCCGGCTAAATTATTCGTACCGGTATGTGACTCTTAAGAACTGAGAGAATTCAGTGATACCTTGGCCAAAAATATTTATAAAACAATTTCTGGTTTCCAATTTCCAAGATTAATTTAACTACCCTTGTCACGAGAGTGAGAGGTTAATTAACACGATTTTGCCACGAGAGTGGGAAATTAATTAAGGCAAGAACCTGCATGCGAGAGCTGGGGTTCAACCCATATAGTGATAACGAAACATTAATTTTTAAATACACGAGAGTGTTTTAATAAATTAATTAGACTCAAATTGTTTTTAAAAAGTGTTATTAAATTTAAAGTGCATCCACTAGGTTTAGTAGCATAACTTATTTCATAAATACGAGAGTGAATGTCTCAGGTTTTTAAACAATTAGTTTTTACCGAAATACTTTATAGGCCAAGCGATTCACCGAATTCTCGAAGTCCGATTATCACATACCGGTATAACTATTACTATTATTTTTAATTAAACTGTTTCCCCTAAAAATCGAATATTCATCGCTTAGTTAAACAAACTGTAGCATTAGATCGTATGCGATTGATCCTCAGTCTTTGTGGGTTCGATAATCTTTTAAAACTAGAACGACTGAACTGTATACTTGCAGTTAGTATCCTGATAGACTCATAAAGTCTCGATCATTTTCTGCCTTGTTGTGACTTGTGAGTTATGATGAATTTGTTGCCTATGATGAATTTCTTATTTGAGACCACCATTGTCTGAGCTTCTTGTGAATTGATTCAATTCAATTGTTTAAATTATGTTGTCTGCCTTATTGTGACTTGTGAGCTATGATGAATTTGTTGCCTATGATGAATTGTTTATCTGAGGCCACTACTGTCTGAACTGCTTGTGAATTGATTCAATTCAATTGTTTAAATTCTATTGCATGCCTTGTTGTGACTTGTGAGTTATGATGAATTTGTTGTCTATGATGAATTGCTTATCTGAGGCCACTACTGTCTGAACTGCTTGTGAATTGATTCAATTTAATTGTTTAAATTATGTTGTCTGCCTTGTTGTGACTTGTGAATTATGATGAATTTGTTGCCTATGATGAATTGTTTATCTGAGGTCACTATTGTTCGAACTGCTTGTGAATTGATTCAATTCAATTGTTTTAAATTATATTGTCTGTCTTGTTGTGACTTGTGAGTTATGATGAATTTGTTGCCTATGATAAATTGCTTATCTGAGGCCACTATTGTCTGAACTGCTTGTAAATTGATTTTGATCAATTGTTTAAATTATATTGTCTGCCTTGTTGTGTCTCGTGAGTTATGATGAATTTTTTGCCTATGATTAATTGTCTATATGAGGTCACTACTGTCTGAACTTCTTGTGAATTGATTCAATTATATTTTCTTGTGATCTTGTGATCTTATGACTTAATTATGCCTAGGATTCAATTGTGTTGCCTGCCTTGTGAGTTGTGACTTAATTATGCATAGGATTAAATTATGTTGCCTTGTGAGTTATGATTTAATTGTGCCTATGATTAAATTATCTTGCCTTTAGTTTCCTATTATGAAATTGAATTCTCAGGCCAAATATTGGATGAAATAAATTATGTAAGTTAAGTTGGTTTACAACTCTACTTGTTCAACTAGGTATAAAATGTTCTTCATCAAATGAGTATATCCTTTCTTGTATCCAAATGCTACTCAAGCCACTGCCTATGAACAAGAGTTGACAACCAACTTAAAATCTCTCTTCCAATTGTATTAAGATACTTATTGAACTAATGGTGAGAATGCATGTGTCTGAAACTCTAGAATTAGGATCTAATTCTGGGTTGGGAAAGAGGAGTTTTTAGATGTTTTTAGAAATTGTTGTTTGTAATACTAATTCAAAATCTGATCTTGAATTATATTTTGAGGAGCCTCCCTTGAAAGTCTTCCCTAAGTTAAGTTTGATATTTTAACATGGTGGATGAGGAATGAAGTCAAGTATCATGTTCTTAGTAAGTTGGTCAAGGATATCCTAACTGTTTCAGTTACAATTGTTGCTTCAGAAGCAACTTTTAATGCTGGTAAAAGGATTTTTGATCTGAAACGATCTTCTATGAAAACTAAGATAGTTGAAATGGTACTTTGTGGGAGTGATTGGGTGAAGGAGAAATATGGAATTAAAAAGGGCTGCGCTGCTAGTATTGTAAGTATTTTTTGCTTATGATCTATCTTAGTTGAATATTTATATGGCTTACACTTTTCCATTCATGTTGCCTTGTTTAACTTATGCTTTTACTGATGTAGCTTGAAGAACCACAAGATGAACCTTTATCATTTCATTTTGAGGAGGATCCCGGTGTCTCTTCTTTGACAATAACAACTTTGTAATGTTATTTTGTTGTTTTTTGAAATGCCAATGATGAGATTGTTTTGAGGCATCATTAACAAATGTAATGTTATTTTGTTGTTTTTTGAAACATAACTTATGTTTGAACAAGTTTTATATTTTTGAACAAATTTTACTTTTGAAAGCATAAATTTCATAACTTATGTAAATGATATTTACAATGTAATGTCAAATGCATATTTTGAATGGATTATTTAAAATGTAATTTTGCATCTGAAATTAAAAAAATTTCAATTTTTTCCTTTAATTCGGATGGGCCGGGTACCCGAGCCGAAAATTAACGGTCCGGTCTCGGATCTCCATGTCCAATAATCAATTTTCCGATCCGGTTTCGATTTATCCGAAAATGTCAGTTCAATTTTAGTCTTAAAATTTAATCATCACTGTTTTAGTCCGGTTCCAGTTTACCTGATAAGGCTTTCGGTCCAACTCTCGGGACCCTTGATACCCGAACATATAGCAAAAAAAACATATTAAGAAACGATTTGTTATAATTAAATAATTTAAAGGACTCTGAGGGTAAATTTTCCAAAAAAAAAGTATACACATATACATGAATACATGATACATATAGTGGATAAATTAAATTTTTGATTGAGAATTTGAAGCATCAACAATAATAGAGGAGTCTTATCCACAACACAAAAATAAGATCGAAGGCTTACTATGTGACACAACACAAAAGAAAACCAAGAACTAGAAACCAGAAAATGGCTACTATCTTTTCTGGAGGTTCAGTTTCTCCCTTTCCTTTTCACACCAACAAGGGTACATCTTTTACACCCAAAGGTCCACCAAGTCTTCATCTCAAGAAATTCTTCTCTGCAAAATCAGTAGCCTCTGTTGGAACCGAACCATCACTGTCTCCAGCACTTCAAACCTTCTGGAAGTGGCTACAGGAAGAAGGTGTCATCACTGCCAAGACCCCAGTGAAAGCTGGTGTGGTCACAGAAGGTCTAGGATTGGTTGCTGTCAAAGACATTTCTAGGAATGATGTTATTTTGCAGGTGCCAAAAAGGCTGTGGATAAATCCAGATGCAGTTGCAGCTTCTGAGATTGGAAAAGTGTGCAGTGAGTTGAAGCCATGGTTGTCTGTTATACTCTTTCTCATAAGAGAAAGGTCAAGGGAAGATTCTGTTTGGAAACACTATTTTGGTATTCTGCCACAGGAAACTGATTCTACTATATATTGGTGGGGTTTTTTTTCTTTTCTTTGGTTTGGTTTGGTTTATTACTAGTATGAGCTTAAAATGTGAATTTAGATTCTTTTCATATGGTTGATTCAGTTGGTAATTGGTTATTCCAGTGCAGGTCAGAGGAAGAGCTCCAAGAACTTCAAGGTTTGTTACTGCTGCGAATTTCTATAACAATACAGTTCTTTTATAGATTCAGATAAGATAAATATTATGAAACTGAAATTTGAATGAATGTGTTTTGAGTAGGTAGTCAACTTTTGAAAACAACCGTGTCTGTGAAAGAATATGTGAAGAATGAATGTCTGAAACTAGAACAAGAAATCATTCTCCCTAATAAGCGGCTTTTTCCGACTCCTGTGACGCTGGATGACTTCTTTTGGGCATTTGGAATTCTCAGATCAAGGGCGTTTTCTCGTCTTCGCAATGAAAATCTAGTTATAGTTCCAATGGCAGACTTGGTAAGAACCTTTTCATTTTTCTCTTTTTCTGTATCTTGCATCTTTTATTCAACATACCTATTAGTTTCAAAATTGAATTTCTGGATCAGATTAACCACAGTTCTAGAGTAACTACAGAGGAACAAGCTTATGAAGTTAAAGGTGCAGCTGGCCTTTTCTCTCGGGATTACCTATTTTCTCTAAGGAGCCCTCTTTCTGTCAAGGCTGGAGAACAGGTGAAGTTTCTTTTATGGTCACGTTGATAACTGTGCAGTTCGTAACATAACTTACGTTCAAAATATAGTTACACACACAACAATGGAAGCAAATTTTATTGCAGGTATATATCCAATATGATTTGAACAAAAGCAATGCAGAGTTGGCTCTAGACTACGGTTTCATTGAACCAGATGAAAATCGAAATGCATACACTCTGACACTGGAGATATCTGAGTCAGACCCTTTTTTTGATGACAAACTAGACATTGCTGAGTCTAATGGTTTTGCTCAGACAGCATACTTTGACATGTTCTATAATCGCACTCTTCCACCTGGATTGCTTCCGTATTTGAGACTAGTAGCGCTGGGGGGTACCGACGCTTTCTTATTGGAATCACTGTTTAGAGACTCCATATGGGGTCATCTTGAGTTGTTCGTCAGCCGTGACAATGAGGAGCTACTATGCAGAGCAGTTCGAGATGCCTGCAAATCTGCCCTTGCTGGTTATCATACAACCATTGAACAGGTATGACAAATACAATTAAAGTAACCTCATTACATTTTACAATAGTACATGGAGTTTGAATTGTGAAAATTTTGAAGCTGATTGATATCAACTGATCAACAATTAACTGAACAAAATATATAAATGGCAGGATTGCGAGATGAAAAAAGAAAATCTAGATTCAAGACTTGCAATAGCAGTTGGAATAAGAGAAGGAGAAAAGATGGTCCTGCAGCAAATAGACGGCATCTTCAAGCAGAAAGAACAGGAATTGGACCAGTTAGAGTATTATCAAGAAAGGAGGCTCAAGGACCTTGGGCTTTGCGGAGAAAATGGCGATATCCTTGGAGACCTTGGAAAATTCTTCTAATCATGCAGGAAGCAGTTGCACCGGTAAAGGACACACTGTTTGCATTTCTTAAGGATGAAAAAACTAAACACTTTTTAAAAATACAAATGGAGTCTTCTGAGATGATCGATGCCACAATTTTTCAATCAATCTTAAGAGAGTCGTAATTAAATTTTTGACTCTGGAGTCTTAGACCAACCCGTTACATGCCTGAAGTTTGTAAAGAGGAAAACATAATGTGTGAAATATAAATTACATTTCTGTATTGGTGATTATCTATAAAGCAGGTGACCGTTGTTATTACAGAGAGAATGAACCTTAGAGTTTATGCTTCGAATTCAAGATTGTAACATAAACTGTTATTATACAACTATACTGAAGTTGTTGAAGATACATCTTTACAAGCCTCTATATAAAACATATGTTTTCTTTTTCATTTTCTATTTTTCTTTTCCCCCCATGGTTTCTACAAAGTTGTGTATACATAAATCTCTAAGAACTTATGCCGTGGAAAGGAGCCGTTTTCAGATAACTCTGTCATACTTATGGTTGGGCTAAGAGTGCATATTTTCTATATTCAACTTTTACTCATCTTACTTGATGAGAATTCTGATGACCTAGCAAATCATCACACTTTGTTTCCTCGCAAAGGCATTCGTGTGGGTTGGCATAGAAATAATCCTCTTCCTTTGGCTTGTCAGCGATAACTCTACGATAACTTGGCTGTCCCATTCTCTTTTCGTGAGCATGTCGTACGGCATCTGCAAACTCATTCCAAGGAAGGGTTCTATTTTGATGCATATCAATCAATTGTACAAGCTTTTTCCGGTCCAATAAGATGGATTTTTTAAAACCACTATACCTGCGGGAAGACTAATTAGAAAAAAATTCTTGGATATTATTTTATGGTTGAGTTTCTAAAATCAGAATACATTTTACATGAGATGAAATCGCAACTAGCACGTGTAAATAGATACCTGCGGTGACCTTCAACAAGTTTTGCCATGTTCCCGTCATAGGTAGGAATGAAAGTGTCACTGGCTACTGAAACCATAAAGTCCAATGCTGCCATTTGCGATGAATGATTTTGGAACTGCTGCAACTCATCGACGGCTAGCAATGCCTCTTTTCTAACCTAAAGTAAAGTAAAATGGATTCTTATAAAACGAGCATTAACCATAACGGATGAGAAAGTGCATAATGTAGATGAGTTCCAACCATATTGAGAGCCACAATTTACAACAAGTGCTGGAAAATATAACTGTTAAGAATATGAAATTATTTTAGTATTTTGATGGACCTATCGGAAAATTTTGCATAAACTAATAAGCACAAGCTAGAATCATTCAGAGGCATTTTTATAATATCGAATATCAAAAATATATTAAAAAAGAAGAGGGGATAGAGAACTCACAATATTTGGAAATGCAGCTCTCAGTTGTGCAAGTCTACGTTCACCGCCATAAATCTCACCGGCTGCAATGTAGATCTGTGTCTCCCGGCCAAAACCTAAGGCTTGCATAACTAAGGCTGTCTCCTCTGGTGTCAAAGGACATAGACCCTGCAATCTCCTTTCTTCAGACACTATTTCCTTCTCTCTCCACGAAGGAAACGCATATCTGAATTGTGCAAGCAAAATCAAAATTTCATGTGAGATCGACCTCTCACTTGTCAGCTCGTTACAAATTAATTTGACTACAAGATTCTTTCTCTTTTATAAAGTGAATGTATTTAAATTTAATGTGTAATAATCGTCAAAATATATCAAATTCAACAAATCATAAAACACCACAAATTATACAAGAAAGACCCATCTCTCATAAAAACTTATATATAAGTAAACGCGTAGCAAGACAGGAAAGATAAAACACCTCATCCGCTTGAGATCCTCGGCTTCTTCATTAGTGCAGCCACGAGTACACCCAGAAAAAGCCAGCATGTCCATCTCATATCTCAGATGCAATGCGACAAAAGATCCCCTCTCGTGAAGTATCTGAATTAATTTTTGCCCCAGATTCTCAATTTGAGGAGTGAATTTAATTGCCTGATAATTAACACGACACCTAAGTTTCTGTAGATCAATTGGGAGACCGTTATTTGCTAGGCGTGCATCTGTTTTGTTGAAGTGTACCACCTTGTGCTTGGCAAAAAGCGGTAAAATCTGCAGGTGTAGTCAATAATCAAACACTATATATATACTACTTTTTATTACTAGATACCAAACTCGGTATCTTGGGGTTTCCAACACTCACACATGTTTTGCAGACCTACAATTATGAAAATTTGCAAGAGTAAAGTGGCATTTTAATATTGATACAAATATTCTGCAGACCTGCTCCAAGTAATACTTTTCATTTGACCAGCTAACAGGAGGCATCGCCATGGTGGAGTATCCACCTTTCCTAGTAAACTTTTTGGGAACTCTTTTCACTATTCGAACTTCATCTTGTAAAGAATCAATGAAATGCTTTACATCAAATATTTCCTCAAAGCCACTGCAAAAAGAAAAGTACAAATTTAAAATGACAAGACAGACAAATTAGAGAATACTCTCTCCTTTTTCAAAACAAGGGATATACCTATGGTCTGCCCAAAAGGATTTCTTATCAAGCTCTGGAACAACCAATGTGAGGTTCAAAAGCCGAGCAACTGTCACCATGTCACAAATCTGAAATGCCAAATCTGCTAACTAAACATTGAAGCTTATCATACAATAGGAATAAAGAAACGGAAGAATAGGACGAGGTACAAACCGCTGCACGCATTTGATTCAAACCCCCATTGCACGACACTCTTAGAAAACCATTACTAGTATAATTTCCTGCAAGGTTTCAATCGACAATGCTTTAATATTAAACTCAAAATCAAAGCTATACATTTCCAAACTCACATCCATAACCATTCCATCAAACAAGAAACATTGGAAACACAGAAACATACTTGAGATAGATAATTCAGTATAGAGAAAAACTAACTTGCAGGAAGTATAGTGGGATGAGATTGAGTAAGTCTAAGATCGTCTTGAATAGGGCGTTGATTCGTGTGATATATATGACTTGTTAAGCCAGAAAAGAAATTGGAATGCCATAGTTCACTCACTGTAACAAGCTGAACCAAACAAGTCCACAGAACAATGCTTGAACAAACTCGAATGAACCAAAAACGAAAACAGCTCCTTGGAATCACAGGAGCATGAAGCTTATCATACATCACTTGAAAACCCTCTGATCTAACCTCCATTTCCTTGTCACACACTTCATCACCACAACCTTCACACACTTCCCAACAACCCCACAACAATCAACAATCTGCTACCACAAAAAACATCATCAATAAGAAGTGCATTGCTAAATTAGTGACAATGAAATTGAAAATATACCTTAAACAGGAACACTCTGCAACGAAGTGAATCTCACTGTTTTGCGATTTTTTGAAGAAATTGAAACCGACCCAGAATTGAATTTGAAGCCAATAATCGAGGGTGAGGCTCAAAATAAGATCTTTCCACCTCCAAACTTCATCCACAGAATTTGAAGCTCTTCAAGAATCAGAGAAAAATTACCAAAAAAATTTACTTTTTCAGAAAGATTTAATTCTCGAAAGAAAGGAATTTAAGAACAAAGTGAAGAAGATCCAACGAGAAAGGATCAAATCGGAGGAAATAAACAAATAATTTTAATGCATTTTGCTTTTTTTTTTTTTTTAATTATTAGTTTTGACGATTTCAATGTAAAAGTGTTGATTTTTCTCTCTTTTTTTTATTGTGTGCATGGATTCAAAGATGTGGGTAGATGAATTGAGAGATCCAAGTTAACTAGAAAGAAAATGTAAATTTTTTTTTTTCATTCTCAAAAAGTTTTTCAAAATATTCAAACCTTTCAAGAAAAGAGAATTGGAAATGGAGGATATAAATAGTTTTTTTTTTTTTTGAAAAAAAGATATAAATTACAAATATTAGTTGTTGGTTATTATTTTTGTTAGTAGGGAGAGTTAAATTAAATCTCATGATTTCTCTATATCACTACAAATCATATACTACTCCCTACTAAATATTAATCAAACTACCTTATCTCATAATGGATGCTTTTAATAATTAGTTATAACTACTTTGTTTTTTTGGAATGGAAACAACAATGTATCAATTTTGCAAAAGAAGATGCTAATAAACAAGGCATTCAAGTGACTAAGAGTAACCAAAAGACAAATTATAGTTATTGAAAAAGTAAGATGTCATTTGCAAACATTAAATAGGTGGTTTTTCTATAAAAAAACTTACAAACATTTAGGAGGTGAGATATCCGAATTTTTTTACTGTCCTCATGTTGTTAGACACAAAATCCCAAACTACCACATTCATTTAACATATTATTCTCAAAATTATACATGGCACTCCCTTAACTTATTTTATTTTATTTTTATTTTTGAATGAGTTGAACATAATTTTTAGACAAAATTTTTGATAGAATGATTGAAATATTTAGTACCATTCAAATTTCTGATACACTCCTATAAAATTTACGGTATCATAAATTTTTGATAGTGTATATATAATTTCTGATATACCAGAAATTTCAATTAATTTGAAATTTCCGATAGTATTAAGAATATGGTTTTTTAAACGAATGAGATTTTGCCGACATATTTGGATAGTTTTAATTGCACCGACACATTTGTATAGTTTAGAATGCATCACCATTTATATAAATAGAGGCATTTGTTATAGAGAAAATACATCTCAAAAAAATATCTCTTCCTCAATTTCTGATTAAGACAAAAGTCTATCACAATGACTTCAACCCTCCTATTGAATTCACGCTTCTAGATGGTTCTGAATTATTTGCCACCTTGAAAGAAACATTGAATAATTTGCTGCCTGATTCCGATAACAGAAGGTGACAAAGGTAGAGTTTCAGGAGGATTGAATTGATACAAATGGAAGAGTGAAATACAACCTAATCGAGTTGAAGAATGATAAAGATGTGAAAGCCATGTGAAAATCATTTCGCCATAGGATAACTAAAGGTCCGATCAAGTTGGATGCGCAGATCCGAAGATCCGTCGACGACATAATGAAGTGTCTGAAACGTCATGAATCTTCCGGAAGTGCCAAGCTAGGTTTTTCTTGTTTTGTTGTTTTTGGTTTATGTTTGTTGTACTGTTTTATGTTTGTTATTTTTGGTTTATATTTGTTGTGCTGTTTTATGTTTGTTGTATTATTCTAGGATTTCACCAAAAAAACATACAATAAATAAGGTGTTTGTTTATCACAAAATATACATATTATTGCTGGCTCCTAAATTCGACACCCACGTTCTATTATCATATAGATCATTAATTATGAGTTAGAAGAGTTTCCTACACAAGAAGGCTTCGATCAGCTGATCACATCGAAGGCTTATCAAAGAATGACAAGATACTTAGAGAAATTTCTCTAAGTTGGAATCATGTTGTTTTCAACGTCGAAGGAGCAACCTTTCGACCAAGGTCCCTGATGCCCAAGATCGAACGGTTTGAATTTCGAATTATTGGAGGGAAAACGGTTCCCAGCAGTTACCAAGAGCAACGTGGTGTGGAAGTAGGCGTCGAGGGTTGTGAACGTGCCATGTGGTGTCACCACGAAGCGATGTAACTGCCCAGCAGTTACTTAGGATTTTTAGTATAAATACTAAGTGTTCACGTAGTTATTAAGGGTGTTCATCATTGTATACAAGTCACTCATTTAGATTCAAGTACCCAGCGTGAGAGAAAGAATCATTGAGAATGTATGTGTGAAACACCATTTACCTTAATCGAAATCTTTTACATTCAAGCAATTTATGGCTTTCACTTATTTATCTCAGTCGAAGTCATTTATTTAACAAGCCTTTAATGCTTTTATTTACTTTATCAAGCTTTTCTCCATGCAATTTACTTAAAGTGTCTCTACCTTACTTGCGTTAATCACCATTAGGATTAGTCGAAACTCTCTATTTTAAAGCATTTAAACGATAAAAATCAGCCATATCTTAGGATCAATCTGATCGATCCTGCGAGTCACCAAATAAGTTACCTTTTGGAAGATCAGCGGTTGTTTACCATTTTTCACGGTAAACAAATTGGCACACCTGGTGGGACCTTGTGTTGATTTTACGAGTTTAATCGTTTTTTATAAAATATACTCCTTTTTTCGAGAGTATTGCATGTTATTGAGAAGTGGTAGAATATACACCAACGAAACCAATACTAGGAGAAGAAGTAGAGAAATGGCGAATCCGCCAAACAATGGAGAAAACCCACAAACAAACGTGGGAGCGACGATTATCCCAACCATAAGCGAAGTGGTAACCGCTGGTTCAACGCCGGCAGTAACGGTTACACAAACGGGGCCAATACCTTCATTTACAGGCCCCAGAATGCCTTTGGGAACTCCCCCACCAAGGGGAAACCAAGGAACCAGACCATATGTTCCCCCAGGTTTTTCGATAGTCTGGTTAAATCGAGAACCACCCTACGGCATGCCAACTTCTGAATTGACTAGCCTGATGAATGCTACGTCCATATTTTCAGAACCTTTAGTGAGTGCCTCTTTGCCACTCCAAGGCTCTGGAGTTGGTATGGAGAACATGGGTAGGAACCAACTCTTAGGAGGAACGTCCCACGTAATGCCTGGCCTTACGAATTCCTCGACAGCAGTCTTGAGGCAGCAAATGGACGAAAGCAACCACGACATGGTTCAAATGTTGGCGCAAACTTTAAGTACAGTGCTAAATCCTCTAATACAGAATACCACTCAGTCGAATCAGCAAATGACAGCGCAAATGTCGCGTCTGACTAACTTTTTTGGGGTACCCCAACCCATTCGACAGCCCCAAAGGGCACAGATAAGGGGAAACCAAGGCATACTTCTAGAGGAAGAAACCACTATTAACCAAGTCCAGCAGCCTGTCGAAGAGAACCTTAGGGTACAAATGGAACAACTCGGGGTCGAAGAGCCGAGAGTCGTAGCCCCGAAAATAAGGATGGTTAATAGAAACCAAAACGCTGACGAAGTAGTTCAGCAAATCCAATACCAGAATGTTGGTTTGGAGAATAACTTGACAACCATGATTGAAAGAATCATGATGCAAAACGGGATGAATACGGGCTTCCGTAGGCCTAACTTCACATCCCCACTGTCGGAATATGTGTTACAAACGGACTTGCCTCCTAGATGCAAAGTCCCTAAGTTCACTAAGTTTTCAGGGGACACGACAGAATCCACTGTCGAACATGTGGCAAGATATTTAATCGAAGCGGGAGAAATCTCAAACAATGAGAACCTAAGTGTGATACGGTGGGAGAACTGACTTGAGTTTTGCGTTTGTATTCGCACTTGTTCGGTTTAGCAAGAGTCACCACCAACTTTTTATTTTATCCTAAAGGAAAGGTTAAAAAGCACAGGAAAAACCTTTTTGAGATGTTTTGTGGGTCCGGGGGGTAGATTATGAAAAGGGAAGGTATTAGCACCCTTTTCATCCATGGTTATCCATGGGCTCTTAGTTACTTGGTTTTAGATCACTTGCCTTGATTTTTGATTGCTTGAAAATGGTGTGTGTATGTGTGTGTTTTGAAAATGTTTTTGAAATAGACGCCTTTGTTTCGGCAACCATTGTAATGACTCGTGTTTGAGTATATACAACGGTGTGTATCTTTTCGAAAAGATGTTTCAAATGTTTTTTGGAAGTTTGTTTTGAAAGTGTTTGTGAAGTGTGGTTTTGAAAAGGAGGCAAGTGTTTTTGCAAGATTGATCCCAAGTAACTAAGAGTTTTGTCTACCCCTATTGTACTCAAAGGTTTTTCTCATGTTTTAACCCTTTTACCAATTTTGTTCCACCATTGAATTTGGTGGACAATCTTGTGTTTGGGATGTGATCGGGACAGGCGCGGGTCATCGTATGGACCATGAATGCAATGGTGCCAAGTGTCTTTGGCAATTTGCTTGAAGGGACTTGATCATTTTGATAAGCAACTTTCGAAAGCGTCATCGAGGGACTTATGATCATTTGAATTGTTTTGCCAAAGAAACTCGACGTGCAAGCATGGCCCATTTTGGAAGGCAACATGTGGGATTACCCTAGGGGGTGCAAGTGTGATTGTGTATTGATTTCATGTATTTGTCTTGTATTAGGTTATCTAGCGTTTGATTTTATGTACATGCAAACCCTAGGTCTAACCATGGTATATTTGAAAGCGGTAAATTGCGGGAATTTAAAGTCTAAGCTATTACAAATAAGTATCCGAGAGTGGGGGTACAAATTCACAAATGGGGATGAGACTTAAATGATTACAACCAAATCGAATCGATCGCAATGTAAAATATAATGTATAGCAATGTATAGCAAATGTATAATGTATCAATGTAAGTGTATTGTGTAAGTGTATATGTAATTTATTTACAAGTTGAGAAATGTGAATTTAAATGCATTGTTAAGTATGTTTGATTTAATTTTGTATTTTGGTTAAGTATGTACAAACTAAGAAAATTTAATTAAGAGAAAGGAAAATGTTTTAAATTCTATTCTTTTAGGTATTAAAAATAATGCATTTTAATTATGTACAAATAAGATAAAATTTGAAAAAGTTTTGAGTTCCATTTTTATGTATTAATGTGATTATTTAATTTTCTTGGAATATTTGTTAATATGTACAAATTAATGTATTTTAAGAAAAGAAAATTTTCTAAACTTGAGAAAAAATTATGTATTGATTTATTTATGTACAAAAAAATATTTTAAGAAAAAGAAAGAAATGTTTTAAGTTTTAATTATATTATGTATTATTGTATTCTTATATTTTTTTGTAAAGTATGTACAAATTAATATTTCAAGGAAAGAAAAGAAAGTTTTAAGAAAAGATTTAATTTTATGTATTTTTATTTAATATTCTTATATGCCAAACTAATATATCATTTCAAAAAAAATAGTTATGTTAAAAGAAAACAAACAAAAAATTTAGAAATGAAAGGAAGAAATGAATGGGCTTGGGCCCAACCAAAACAAACACGCTTCAGGAGTGATGGGGGGGGGGGGGTATGCCTGAAAGTTATATGGGCTTTTGCTTACTGGAAAAGGGCAAGGCCCATGGCAAATTCGTTCATTTTGTTTAGGGTTTGATAATTATTGTTTCATTTGGAGAATGCTAGGGTTCGTGAAACAGAAGCGGTGCCATTTGTCGTTCATCTTCGTTCCTTCCTCTTCTCCGGCCAAGCGTCCAGAACAATGCCCCTTGCCCAGCCACCAACGCCATCATGCATCTTCCTCCTCATGCTCACTCAAACGGCGGTAACGAGAAGGTTATAATTTTCTCGCTTATGTCTTAAGGTTTTCGTTAATCCCTTTTTGCATGTTTAGTTTTTGTGATTATTGATTCTGATTAAGCTTCGTTATTGTTTGTTATTGAGGTGTATGAAAGGAAAGAGGTACTACCTTTTAGAGATGGAGGAGGAATGAGGGTGGAGGTGTTCAGGCGGCTTTGACGGCGAGGGGAACGATGACGTTGAAGCTAGCTTGCTGGAACTTGGTATTCTGTATTGCTCTTCTTTGCTTGTTGGTTCGATGATGACACTTGAGAACTTTGTATATCTCTCTTCCTCTTCTCTTCTGGTTGCCTCGCCCTTTATGCTTCTTTATCCTCTTCTCTTTCACTTTCTTCGGTTGCCTCTGAGTTGCCTTGAGATATTGACTTGAATCTTTCTCTTCCTCGTTTCTGTATGCTTGATGATGATTGATATGTTGCCTAACTTGTTTACCTCTATATGTTTACTTGATGCCTTGTATGTTTGCCCTATGATGAGGCTTCCTCTGAGGGTTTGTAGCCTTAATCTGACCAGGCTTGTGTTGAAAAGGGCTTGTATGCTTTTTGTTTAAACTGGTAAGGCTTGATGCTGTTTAGGTCTTTGGCTTCTGGTTGAGGGCTTTGCAGGTTATGGTCTTAGGTTTTGACTGCAGGTTTTTTTGATGGTTAAGGCATGGCTTCCGTTTATGTTTGATGGCTTCAGCAGGCTGTTGGACAAGTAAGGTTTGAATGGTTGTTTGGATATCAGTTTTGGCTTTGGCTTGTTAGGTCTTGGCTTTTTGATGGTTCAGGTTTGTGTTACAGATTCCAGGCCTGTTGAGGTTTGGACAAGTTATCTCTTTTGAAGGGTAAGGCCTTGGGTGCTTTATCTTCTGAGTTATGTTTTTACTGTTTGATAGGTTCAGGCTAGTATGTTTTGAGCTTGTTGAATGCAGGGTCCTTTTGACAAGTGAAGGCTTTGGTGTTATATGCTCCAAAAAGGGTTCAGGGTTTGAATCCGGTTTGAAGGTTTAAGTGTGGATAGATAATTCTGTTTCTTTTTCTTGATAGTTTTGTTTGTATTCTGATTTCTTCATATCTCTGCCTTCTGCCTCACTGTTTTATTGCAGTTTTGTTTTTATATATCTTGTCCTCATGCCTAAACCTGTAAGCCTATTCTTTTCCTCTCTTCTTCTCTCTCCAGTACAGCTTTAAGCATTAAATAATGTTATGTTTGTACTTTATTCTGAAAAGGCAATGCTGGAAAATGATGAAAATAGGAGGTTGCTTGCAATGTAGTTTAGTTCTGCATATTTTATCTCTTTTCCATACTGCCTGCTTCTTTGGGATAGTTTGAATGTGAACTCAGTTTGGACTCTTGACTTGGTTTAGGCCATTCAGTTTGGTCTTGGACTTTGTAGTTTGTTTGGTAATTTTGAAATTATGCAGTAGGTTTGACAAAATTTGAATTTGTGCATTTCAACTTTGTGCATTCATGTTTAGAAAGAATTATCCACCCCTCTCTGTGAACCGGGAGAATCCCGTGATTTGCAGAGAGGGCTAACTGATTCTAGTCAGTTGCCTTTAATGATGAGCCCAAATTAACCGTCTGTCTCTTTAATTTATCTGCTTCAATTGACTTTTTCTTTTCTTATTATTTTTTGTTTTTGCAGATGAAATCAAATGGAGCAGAGGGAGCATTGGATAGAAGAATGAAGATTAGGAAGCTTAGAAAAAATTAGGATAGTTTTTTATTTCATTTTAAATATTTGTAAAATTATCATTGTAAATACTTTGTAAATATTTAAATAATAATTGTAACAAATAAATTAAAGATGAATAAAATCTATTTTTTACCAGTTAATTCTTTTTCTCCTTTTCAATTGTTTATTTTATTATTCATAATTCTTTAAATTATAATAATTGAAAATAAATTCCAACCATTTAACTTAGAATAATAAATAATCCATAAACGTCCGACGTTTTGAATAATCAAAGCAATGCACCGTCAAATCACACATGCCCCAATGTCTCTTCCTTTTACTGATTTTAATCAAACACTGCAAACTCAATCCAAATGCCTTTTTCACTGATTTAGTCAAACGCTGCGAATTCAATCCAAATGTTTCAGTCCACATCTCAGAATAACTTGACAAGCACTGTGGAATTAAATCTTTCTGAGGAATCTGCGCACAAACCCTAGTTCTTGATTAAAAGTCAAAGAAGCGTCCGCCTGATCAAAAACTGAGCCGAAATCAACCAAACCCTAAGCAAACTGTTTGAATTGTTCCAGAGTCATGAAAACCCTAATTTTGTCTGACTGATAAGAAAAATCTGTTTGACTGATTCTTACGCCAATCTGAAAAATTAGGAAACGCCCGAGGCTGTGATTTCTTGTGGAAAAATGCGAGGGCAAATTTTGGGGTACAACACTAAGGATTAAGTATTTCCCAAGTTCCCTAACAAAGAATGCGTTTACTTGGTTCACAAATCTCCCCCCCAATTCGATCCACCATTGGACCCAGTTGGAGAGATTGTTCCATGAGCAATTCTACATGGGACAAACCAAGATAAGCTTGAAAGAGTTGGCTAGTGTAAAGAGGAGATTCACTGAGCCTATAGACGAATACCTAAATAGGTTTATATTGCTCAAGGCAAAATGCTTTACGCAAGTGCCAGAGCACGAGTTAGTCGAAATAGCCGTTGGAGGTCTAAATTATTCCATTAGGAAGAAATTAGACACTCAGTACCTGAGGGACATGGCCTAATTGTCCGATAGGGTTCGACAGGTAGAACGCCTTAAAGCTGAAAAAGCTAGGGCGACGAAAACTCATAAAAGAGAAAAGATAGCATATGTCGAAATGGACGATGAAGATCCAGAAACATTCGACGAACTTATAGCCGTCGAGGAGAGTGAGGTCGATTTAGATGAGTTAAAATGAGGGCCACCATACTCTTGCAAATTACTCGTCCCCTCTAGTGGAAAAAACCTCACTGAGTCTGAAAAGGCCAATGATAGGTTCCCTAAAAAGACTTACAGTTTCGATATTACGAAATGTGATGAAATTTTTGATTTACTTGTAAAAGATGGCCAAATGATAATACCCCCAGGGGTAAAAGTGCCTCCTCTTGATCAAAGAAAGAAAAGAGGCTATTGTAAATATCATAACTTTCTGGGCCATAAAACATCTCAATGTTTTCTTTTCAGGGATCTCGTGCAAAATGCTATCAAAGAAGGGAGGCTGAAGTTCGCTGACAAGGCCCCCGTGAATGTGGATTCAAGCCCTTTTCAGGCGGAAGCCCACTATGCTGAACCCTCAGGGGTAAATGTGATCGAAGCTTCCAGGAGTCAGGTGAAAAGGCCAGGGATAACTATGGTCGAAGTCACCAAAGATCATATCAATATGCCAATATTTGGCAGTTTTTCTGGGAACCTTTCTAGAAAAACAATCGAAGCAGTCCAAAAGGTTGCTGAGGGCCCAAAACTGGAAACAGGTGGAGTCTCAAAATGTGGAACTAAACCCACTTCCTACTTGGCTGCGGTGCAAGGCCAAACAAAAGACCTGGAGGCTCAAATGAAGCAAATGACTCTTGCTACTAAAGACAACATGAATGTCAACATGGTCGAAATCTCTGAATCAAAAGTTTCAGAGGAAGCCATCAGGCAAGAGCAAGCAAACAGAACAACGTTCCCCCGAGAGAACGAAAATCTGGCAGAATTCTTGCAACGATGCCAGAAGAAAAAATCAGAAGTAATGATGTGTCCTCGATGCAGCTCTATTTTTGACAAGAAAGTTGCTGAACACATCGAAGGTGTGAGAGCAGCAAACAAAAAATGGAGCAGAAATGCCCAAACAAGTGCAGGCTCTGATGTTCGACACGATCCTAGAAGAACCTATCAAAAGGGTTCACGTCAGGAAAAGAGGCCACTAACTTTCAGGCCTCCAACCAATGTGCCAGTCGATATATGGCTCAAAACATCGAGTCGAAAGAGACCCAACAAAGAAAGGTGGCATTCCTTTGAAGTGCCAAGAGGTTCATCTTTGACACTCAAGAAAGAACCTCATGTAGGTGCCACCAAAGTTGCTCAAGTATTGAGTAACTACAAGGGAAAGAACCTAATGTCTCGATCCCAGTGGAGAAGGTACCAAAGGCGGCACAAGGCTGAGAGAGAGGATGCCAACGAACCAAAACCAGAGTCGAGCTCAAATGTCCCCCAGCGAAAGCAAAGAAAGCCTTTGGAGAGGGAACCAGTGGCCAATAGATTGGTATGGCCTGATCAAGACGAAGCTGGTGACGAAGATAGCTCCGAGTCTGACGACACATTAGACATCATGATAAATATAGTTTCGGTCTTGCCAAGAGACTTCGACCGCCAAATGGAAGTCGAAGCAAACAACTGGGAAGTCGAATAAGAGATGGCCAAGCATAGGCCAGTATGCTACTTTGTCATGGGTAATGGTTGCACTGAAGAGCAAAATGGTTTCTTCGAACCACCAACTGAGGCGATGAAAAGTCACCTCAAGCCTTTATTCATAAGGGCAAAGCTCGAAGAGGCCACTATAAACAAAATCTTGGTGGACTGTGGGGCGACTATCAACATAATTCCCCACTTCATGCTAAGAAAAGTAGGCAAGAATGATGAAGACATTAAGCCTCATAATATGGTCCTATCGAACTACGAAGGAGGAATAGGGACCACCATGGGTGTGATTCAACTAGACCTCAAAGTGGGATCCATCCTTCGACCAACCATGTTCATGGTCATATCGGCTAAACCAAATTACAACCTATTGTTAGGACGAGAATGGATACATGGTGTCGGAGCAGTACCATCGTCGATGCACCAAAGGGTGATATTATGGCGTCCCGATGGGATTGTCTAGAATATAGAAGCAAATCAGAGCTACTACTTAGGCAAAGTTAATCACCTAGGGAGAGCTGACTTCGACAAAAATTTGGCTCACATTGGGCCATGTCCAGCCCCTGACTTCGACATGGCGCCAGCGCCAAATGCTTTTTGTTCCTTGTACCTGCATCCTGATCATGGGTTTCAATGGGATAAAGAAGACTTGTCTCACATTGATTTCAGTGGGCTAACTGACATCCAGCCAACTGGTTGGGGAAGCAAATTTAGTGATAATGACTGAGTCGCAAGCGTTACAGCGAATTTCGGCTTACGTAGCCGAAACAAGAATGATAGCGACTCTCGAAGCCGAAGTAAAATATATGGCCACCAAGGCCAATGACCAAGTACTACCTTTTACAGGTCCTGGAAAAGATTTCGACCCAGAGACACCAGATATAGGTCCTGGAAAAGATTTCGACCCAGAACCTCCCGATATCTCGACAGAAGGAATGCAGGAACAGAGGCTCAACGCCATCTACGACGATGAGCCTTTGGGTTTCGAAAAGGACCCCCTGGCGAACAACATCAAAATTTTAGCACATGATCCTTTAGAAGAAATCGACTTGGGCGAAGGGTTAGATAAAAGACTCACTTACATCAGTGCCAAAATAGACCCAGAGCTCAGGGTCGAAGTGATCCAATTACTGAAGGAGTTCAAGGATTGCTTTGCATGGGATTACGACGAGATGCCTGGTCTCGACAGAAGATTGGTAGAACTTCAGTTGCCAATCAAACCTGGGAAAAAGCCTGTCAAATAAACTCTAAGACGCTTCGCTCCAAAAATACTGTCGAAGATCAAAACGGAAGTCGAAAGACTGCTGAAGTGCAAATTCATACGAACTACGAGGTACGTCGAATGGATTGCAAACATTGTGGCAGTTATTAAGAAAAATGGTACATTAAGGGTGTGCATAGATTTCAGAGATCTGAATGCTGCAACACCCAAAGATGAATATCCTATGCCTGTGGCGGAAATGCTTGTCGACTCTGCCGCTGGCCACGAGTACCTGAGCATGCTCGACGGTTACTCAGGATACAATCAAATTTTCATTGCTGAAGAAGATGTGTCGAAAACAACTTTTCGATGCCCTGGGGCCTTAGGCACTTACGAATGGGTAGTAATGCCTTTTGGCCTAAAAACGTTGGGGCAACATATCAGCGAGCAATGAACTCTATCTTCCATGATTTTATTAACACTTTCATGCAAGTATATATTGACGATATTGTTGTAAAATCTGTTTCCAGGAAGAACCATATAGACCACCTTCGACAATCATTCGAAAGAATGAGAAAGCATGGTCTGAAGATGAACCCTTTGAAGTATGCGTTCTGTGTGAAAGCTGGAGATTTCTTGGGCTTCGTCGTCCACAAGAAAGGAATCAAAATCAACCAAAACAAGACGAAGGCAATCTTGGAAGCGAAAGCGCCAACGAACAAGAAGGAACTGCAATCTCTGCTGGGCAAGATAAACTTCTTAAGGAGATTTATATCAAACCTAAGTGGAAAAGCGCAAGCCTTCTCACCCTTACTTCGATTGAATAAGGAAGGGTTCGAGTGGGGGCAAGAGCAACAAGAAGCCTTCGACAAGAAGTAAAGGGTTGTTTGCATAAGATTTCGTTCGATCGAAGGTTTGGATGCGAGAAAGCGTAAAGAGTCAAAATTAAGCACTTAGTGCTATTTATAGTGATTGGAAAATCACAGGTCTCGAGGTCATTTAATGCCACAGACGGGAGTGGGGCACGTGGCACGCATTGGCGCTGTAACCGTTCTGAAAAACGGAAACGTTGCAGCATGCTTCCTCGATTTCAGAGAATGGTCATGATGACAGCGTATGAAAGGCCATCGTGTGTGCGAAGTGCCTTACTGAAGTGACATCTTGGGAAAAGTTGAAATGATGATTTTTTGAGATTGTCAGATGGTTGGTAGGAGACAAAAAGCGCACAAACTAATTTGTGGCTGAGAGTGAAGGACAGGTGTCGAATGGAATATCAAATAATGCCTCTTTCTTCTAAGCGTCGAAATAAGACATTCTTGGGGGGACATTTGTTGGCTCCTAAATTCGACACCCATGTTCTATTATCATATAGATCATTAATTATGAGTTAGAAGAGTTTCCTACACAAGAAGGCTTCGATCAGCTGATCACATTGAAGGCTTATCAAAGAATGACAAGATAGTTAGAGAAATTTCTCTAAGTTGGAATCATGTTGTTTTCAACGTCGAAGGAGCAACCTTTCGACCAAGGTCCATGATGCCCAAGATCGAACGGTTTGAATTTCGAATTGTTGGAGGGAAAACGGTTCCCAGCAGTTACCAAGCGCAACATGGCGTGGAAGTAGGCGTCGAGGGTTGTGAACGTGCCATGTGGTGTCACCACGAAGCGATGTAACTGCCCAGCAGTTACTTAGGATTTTTAGTATAAATACTAAGTGTTCACGTAGTTATTAAGGGTGTTCATCATTGTATACAAGTCACTCATTTAGATTCAAGTACCCAGCGTGAGAGAAAGAATCATTGAGAATGTATGTGTGAAACACCATTTACCTTAATCGAAACACTAGTGCAGAAATGACTTTTTACATCGGGTGAAATTGACTTTTTACATCGGTTTTGGGTCCGATGTAAAGTCAGGCGATATAGTAAACCAGAGACTTTTTACATCGGTTCTGGGACCGATGTAAAAAGTCTCTTTTTTACATCGGTTATAATATCAGAACCGATGTAATAACCTGTTATTATGCACATTTTTTAAAAAATTGATCCAGTTTTTTACATCGGTTGGAAGTAATACCCGATGTAAAAAGTCCCTTTTTTACATCGGTTATAATATATGAACCGATGTAAGAAACAGTTATTATGCACATTTTTTTAAAAAATTGATCCAGTTTTTTACATCGGTTGAAAGTAATACCCGATGTAAAAAGTCTCCAGTGACGCGACTTTTTACATCGGTTATTATCCCCAACCGATGTAAAAAGTCCCTTTTTGAAAGTTTTTACATCAGTTTTTACTAATAACCGATGTAAAATGTATGAAATTTTTTCGGAATAGAGTATTTATTTTCTGGATGTTTCCCTGTACAAATATAATTTGTACCCATTTTTTCATATTTTTCCAATATCACACAGACTATAGGTCGATGTTTTCATATTTTTTACAACAAACTTACAAATTGAACAATTGTATTGCAAACTTGTATTGTATTACAACAAACAAAGTTACAATTACAAATTCTTCACAAAATATACAACAATATTCAACTATTTATAAGTCTTTTTTCAAAACTTACAATTACATATTATTCACAAAATATACAAAAATATTCAACTATTTATAAGTTTCCAAACTTAAATTACCAATATAAAATCTTCGGTAGACAACACCAAAACCACATTGCCTGACAATAAATAATAACAATTAACATCAGCAAAAAAATCAAGAAACTCAATAAATGTGCAAAAATCATATGTATTGTGCAAAAACCACAACTTATACAATTCTATAAAACTCACCAAGATAAACTTAATTTTCATGTAACTCAAAGAAACATTTTGCCCAACGAAGTCGCAAATCATACAAATCATCTTGTGTTAATTTTGTTGGGTCATCAAATACCTATAATACATAAATATAACAATATAGAGTTAATTTTTAAAAATTCATATTAAGTCGAAAAATAAAAAGTAAATAACAAAGTAAAGTTATTTTTAGTACCTGCATCCAATTCTCGGACAAATCAAACCTCTTGGGTTTGGGTTTTGTTTTGAAAAGGAAAAAGTATAAAGGGTGATTTAAATAATATACCTCCACTCCAAGAGGTTTGATTTGTCCAAGAGCTTTTGCTGCTCCAAGAACTGCAGCAGATCCACCCATATCAAATTTCATGAGCTCAATCATACAGCCAGGTCCGGTCTTTATGTTGTAGCCACCACTAATACAATAACATTTAAAAAAAGGATTAAAAAAAACTTATGCGTAGCATGTCAAAAAACCACGAGAAAGAAATTTCACTTACCCACCCTGTTCTATACTATAATAAAACTTCCTCCTCTAAACCACAATTCTCAACACATTTCTTTTTGATGTATCGAACTATTGCTTATAGCAGCCTACCCATAAAGTTGTCCATATATTGAAGTTAAATAACCATATCATATGACCTAACGTAATTATTACAATTTGAAAATACATAACATGAAATGTAAAGTGCATTTCAAATGGTAAGGACCCCGAGCCTCACAAAGCAGGTGAAGAGCAAATATTCAATGTGAAGTTTGAACATCAAGGGAGTGCTAGGATTAGAGAAAAATCAATTAAGTGGTTATTTAAAATGTTAGAACAACAACCAGATTAAAGATAAACAAAATTAAAAGACAATGGACGCGAAGCGGTATGGCCGGATACCATACGAAATTAGAAACATGGTTTTGGATATAACATTATGGCATAATTTAATCCATGTAGCCGACCCCACTTAGTAGGATATAACATTTGGCCGCTATAGCGGCTGCTACGCTGAACCGCTCCTCTACTACATTTTGTGATACACCAATATTTGCATAGTTATACCCGGCTTCTAAGTGACTCTATCAGGGACGAACAACCATCAAACTAGACGATGGTATCAAACTAATTATCATAAAAGCAAATGGTCTAGTAAATTAGCATTCTAATTGGGAATAAAGTAGAATTATACTACTAGTTTCTAGAACTACGTGGTGCACCATACTCTTCAATGGATGATACACGCAAAACCAGTTTACTGTCAATCATGGACACTACCCTAAGAAATGACAAGTGTTTATTTGTGTGGAATCACCTCCATGAAAAATCATTTCTGACTGCACATTGTTTCAAACAAAAAAAGAAAGAGAAGCAAAAAAGGACCAAGTATATTGTATCAGTGACCAACAAAGTCAATCAGTAACAGGCTGGTATAAGCTAAAAATTTACACTGTGGGTAGCACATGAAAGAAATTTCACTTCATATTATTCACTCAAATTATGAGTTAAAGCTGAAATAACAATAGGCTTGGTTTTGGTTAGATTAACTACCTATAAAAAGTCATACCTTTTCCAACTAACGCCAACTTGACATTGACAGGTCCAGTTGGAGGTTTATAATGCAGATGATAAAATGTGGAGGATTTGCGGAGGCTGCAGCAACAGCCAGATAGGACCCCATTTTCAGTTCCTTACACTGTTCAGTATCCAATATTTTGGCAGTAAAAACATCACTATATGTTGAAGCAATCGTAGATGCTTCTTCTGCCAATACTCCTGAAGCATACAATTCATCAAGAACAAATTAAATATTAAAAAATGAAGTATCTCACACATGCAGCAATGAGTTTATTCAACTTCCTGGCCTATAAGCGCGAGCCTTATGAACCACCCCGTACACGCATGTGAAATTTCAATTCAACTTTTAAACACCAGCAGTTACAACCCTTTGAATAGAAAAACAAGTTAAATCCTATGAAAATCCAGTTCTTGTCAAACGCTTACTAGTTCAATTCAAACTAATTATCAAATTCAGCAAACTTTCAATTCTAAAGCAAATTTGTAGGCCAGAATTTGCACTTGGTTTTGGCTTCAAAGGACATAGTTTTCACCAAATTTATTGAGTACTTGAAATCATTTTTATGAGAATAATGTATAGTTATAACACAATAACACAAGTGCAGAGTCTAGCAAGAAAACAAAACAGTGAAATTTTTAAGTAACAAACTTTTGCAAGATTACAATTTGACCTAAACTGTGAATTTTGATAATCTTGCAAACAAGCGGGTGTTCGACAGTTCATTATAAACCTTGCAAGATTACAGTTGACCTAAACTCTAGAGCTAAAAGTTAAAAACAATATCAGAAGTTTGATATGAACCTGGTGTGAGAACATTAGGTGGAGAATTTACAAGCTCCCTTCCAAGAAGGACTCCAGAAGAAACGGCGGTCGAAGAGGAAGACCGAAAACGGCGGCCGAAACGGCGGTCAAAGAATATTACCGAAAAGGGGCAATCGGAATCGGCCGAAAAGTCGCGGTGATGGTGATGAAGACGGTTGGCAATCGGAATCGGGCGGGCATGCAGAATCGGAATCTGAAGCGAGGTTGAGGAGGCGCGGCGCGATGGAGTGGTGGAAGAATAACGATGGAGTTGTAATTTTTCTACTGTTTGGGAAATAAGGGTTTGACACCTATTACATCGGTGCATTGTAATAACCGATGTAAGGGTTGGATGGCTATTACATCGGTGCATTGTAATACCCGATGTAAGGGTTGGCAAGCTTTTTTTTTTTGTTACAATGCACCTATTACATCGGTGCATTGTAATACCCGATGTAAGGGTTGGCAAGCTTTTTTTCTGACTTTTTTTTTACAATGCACCTATTACATCGGTGCATTGTAATACCCGATGTAATAAGTTGCAAAAAAAAATAATTTATTATTTAATTTATTTTTTATATTAATATCTGTTGTGAAGATATTACATCGGTTTTTAGTCAACCGATGTAATATGTTGCATGTTTTTTATTAATATTTCTACTACCTTGGTTCTTATTTACAAAAATGCCACCGTATTTTTTTCTGAAAACTTTTTACATCGGTGGATGCGTTTGCCCGATGTAATAGGTAGCGAAATATATTTTTTTCATATTTTTTATATCATTGCAAATAAATACCTGATGTAAAAAGTTTGTTAATTGTATTTTTTACATCATATATTTTGATACCCGATGTAAAAACATTTTCTCAAATATCTTTTTTTTAGTAGTGAAATCTTTTACATTCAAGCAATTTATCGCTTTCACTTATTTATCTCAGTCGAAGTCATTTATTTAACAAGCCTTTAATGCTTTTATTTACTTTATCAAGCTTTTCTCCATGCAATTTACTTAAAGTGTCTCTACCTTACTTGCGTTAATCACCATTAGGATTAGTCGAAACTCTCTATTTTAAAGCATTTAAACGATAAAAATCAGCCATGTCTTAGGATCAATCTGATCGATCCTACGAGTCACCAAATAAGTTACCTTTTGGAAGATCAACGATTGTTTACCATTTTTCACGGTAAATAATTATACAACCAAAATAAAATAGATCTACATAGGCCATCTACGGGCTACATCGACTAACCTAGCTAAACCTCTATAGATCTCACCATCTAGGTTTACCAAACCCATGAGACTGTCAGCATGAACGAAAATGAATTGGAGTCGACTGTCTTGATCTCCTGCAGGTGGTGGAGGTAGTAGTGGTGGCTCGGTAGATGGGCTAGTACCAGAAAGCCCCAGAACATCAACTGCTAAAATAAGTGGTATGATCTGAGGATGTTACACACTATGAAACCACTCCATGTATCCATCCTCGCATTGCCTAGGCTGCTGAACCTCGAAGACTGTATCCATGATCTCACGCAGAGAGGTGAGGATGTGACTCTGAAATCATCTATCAATCCCACCAGATGAAGACTCTGGAACTGAACATGGGATGCCCTGTACATAACCATACTAGCGTAGACACCTCTCAGATAAGTGTCTATCTTAATGGCTCTCCTATTTAACATGCCCTGAATATAAAGTAGATACCTCAAATGGAAGATGAGGGTGATGAGATGTATAAGGTGCCAAGACAACATCATTCAAGGTCAGAGCGTCAAGCCTCCTCCAGTACTCCATCAAATCGCCTGGAATGGCTTGTTTGGCCTTCCATCTCCTCGCACATGGCTCAGGTTTCGTGACACACTGGATCTTCCGCTCATAGATGTGAGGGAAGTGCTCGTATATCCAGCACTGCATAAATAAAAACCATCATATAAATACACTCAAACAATTAATAAAAACCATCAAATAAATTATAGTATACTTGTAACAAGCTCAAGTAACTAGCAAGATGTCTGGTCTCAGGACGAGAAGCAACGTCAAGTGCCGAATACAACATGGTCAAGGCCGCCACTCCCTAAGCCCAACATGGAGTGTCAAGTGCGCTGAAGAGAGACAAGTACCAAACATCAATATAAACTCCATACTTGTTCCCAAAGAGAGTACATGCCACCAGATGTAGCATGTACGCCCTAGCGGTAGCCTCGTACCTTTGTGCCTCCACAAGCTCCTTATACAAGCTCCTCAGCCAAGACATCTGAAGGTGAAATCCCAGAGTCTCACCAAACTCCTTCAGCACCTCCGCCTCAGAACACTCCAAATCCTCCATAACCATACGCACGGTCGTCGCCTGGTCCCTATAAACTGGTATAAAAAATGTACCAGAAATCGTAATGTGAAAGAGGGCATCCACATCATCTAAAGTCACCATCATCTCCCCAAATGGAAGATGGAAGGATGATGTCTTCGGGTGCCACCTCTCAACAAAAGCTGATAAAAAGGAGGCGTCCAACATGGTCAAGGAACAACCAGCAAACTCCAAGAGATGGAACTTACTAACGATGCTCCTCACCTCCTCGGGCATGGGACTCTCAGGGAAGTTCTTCAACTTCGACCCATGAGAAGCGACCTTCAACGTCGAACGCTCTTGTAAGAAGAAAAAACAAATTATTATACATCAGATGTTGTAAGCAAAAATAAAAACTACAATTAAACGAAACCAAAAATATATACCTCGCCTTGCCATATCCTATACGCGACATGATCTACAAATCCTGTCAGCACGGACCTGTCTGAAGGTCCTCTAGGGAATCCTCCATCAGTGTATACTGATGGCTCTGTAGACGTACGAGTCGTGATGTCTGTATCAATGGGGAACACCTCATCAACTTGCTCAGCAACAACCTCCTGCTCAGGCTCCTGCACCATAGACTCCACAATATGAGCAGAAGTTTGTACCTGCTCAGCTACCGGCTCCACAATAGGAGCAGGAGCCTGTACCTTCTCAACAGGAGTAAGAGTCTACACCTCATCAGTGGATACTCTATGGCCCTAATTCTTCTTAGCCATCCGTTTCCGGTGAAAATCGATCGGAGGATGACGTCCAACCCATAGTTTTGAAGTCTGTGCCTCGTTAGCACATGCTTTAGCATCAACTCTGTCAGTGGTTCGTCCCGCAATGGAACCATCTATACCTCTGGTCCTCACTGTAAAATAAGAAAATATTAGGAAAATAAAAATTATCAGAAATTTCTAAATTTTCGGTACTGTGTGACGCACCAGAAATTTCAAAATTCCGGTATAACTGCTAAATTAAAAATACCAGATATTTTGAAATTTTCGGTACGAAAATACCGGATATTTTTGAAATTTTTGGTACAAAGTACTGGGAATTTCATAAAAATACCGCAAGTTCTTACTATTTCGCAAAATTTCTGATAGCGCCTTCGAAATTTCCAGTATCGCCCAAAATTTTGAAAAATTAGGTCGTTCACGAGAATTTGAAATCTGTAATGAATGATTTGGGTCTGGGTAATTTGGTCTTTTCATACCCCTTGGAGGGTGCCATGTATAATATGAGGGGTGTCAAGTTAATTTCTCCATATTCTTCCATCAATAATACTAATATACCATAATGAAAGAACTCTGGGGTTACTGAGGATGAGAAATCCTTGTTGTCTGCTAACTGCTTGGGGAACAAGATCTTCACTGGTTGAGGGGTCTTGGGACCACTGCCGGGGCTCGGAGCTTCTTGATGACTTGTGGGGTGAGAGAATTCTGATGATCTCTGCTAGAGAGTTCAGAACCTGGTAGACTTACGCTGGAGAGGTATGACTGTGAATCTTCGGTCTGGTGGGAAATGTCTCTGTGGGGAGAATGTTTACTGGTCTAATTCCACTAGGGATTGATAGTTGGAAATTTTAGCTCCGCTGGGGATCTGGAACTTATCTCTGAGGGGAACTAAGTTCTGGAAGGCTCTCTGGCTGGGGAGATCAGCTTTGAGAAAGCTCTTGTTCTACTGAGGATCCTGGAGTTTAACTCTGTTCGGGGAATCCTTGTGAAAGGGCATTGAGATATCTATCCGTACCTTCTACCTTATCAATAATCATCTTTTCCTGATTTGTAAGGAAATGATTATGTTCAAGTGCATATGCCTACTTAACAAAACATTGGACGTTTCTCGAGTAAACATAAGTGCAAAAGGAAAAAGGGAAAACAAAGCAAATTTATGCATTTGGAAAAGTATTTGTATTAACTTTTTATGGGCATCTTTGTACAAAGGAGACAGGCATCCTAGTAAGAGGATGTCGCCGTAAAAATTGAAAATTTTATACAAAAGAAAGATGGCTATGTGAAATGACTCCATGGGATTCCATTCTGCTATAGCCTTTACAACTCTGAATATCTACCCGTTCAATGCTTCGTCTGCCGGTGACTGAATTAACCAGAAGCTTGGAGCTGGTTAATGAAGAGATTGTCCTTAACGTGATCCGACGAGACATAGTCATACGCTTTAATTCCCTAACTTTTGCCTGAATCGCCCTTTCGGGTTTTCGACTTGCTGGGTGTACAGATTTTTTTGTTTTATCCCTAATTTTTTCCTGAACCACCCTTTCGGGTTTTCGGTTCACCGGGATGCCTATTTTTGCCCAAGTCGCCCTTTCGGGTTTTCTACTTGTCGGGTTATTTCATGCGTAGTATTTTTTGACTATGTCTGCGTTCGCAGGGTGCGGCAAATCATCGCCATCCATGGTGGTCAGAATCATTGCACCACCAGAAAATATGTTCTTGATTACAAATGGTCCTTCGTAAGTAGGAGTCCATTTGCCCCTGGGATCACTTTGCGGCAAGATAAACCGCTTGATCACGAGATCTCCGACTTGATATACTTGACGTATGACTTTCTTGTTGAAAGCCTTGATCATCCGTTTTTGGTACGTCTGACCATGGCAAACAGCAGCGAGTCGCTTCTCGTCGATCAAATTGAGTTGATCAAGTTGGGTCTGAATCCAATCGTCTTCATTCAAACCTGCGTCTTTCATAATTCTTAAGGAAGGAATCTCAACTTCCATGGGCAGGACAGCTTCCATGCCGTATACCAGAGAAAATGGGGTTGCCCCGGTTGAAGTACGTGCTGTGGTACGATATCCGTGCAGAGCAAACGGTAGCATCTCATGCCAGTCCTTGTAAGTGACCGTCATTTTCTGAATGATCTTCTTAATGTTTTTGTTCGCAGCTTCAACAGCACCGTTCATCTTCGGTCGATAGGGAGATGAATTGTGATGATAAATCTTGAACTGTTCGCATAGAGCGGTGATCATAGTATTATTCA